TTTTYCYTTTYCYTTTTTTTYYYCTTTTYCYTTTTTTTTTTTTTCCCTCATAACGTGGGTCTCGCCTGGCGCCGGCGCTGGGGCCTGCGCRGTGCCAAAGGAGCACTGGCAGATCAGCCTGGCGCTGCCTGGCGGGCTGCTCCCCTCCAATCCCGCCCCGCTCCTTYGCTTGACRCGCTGCCCGTGCACACAGAGGTCACCGTTCCTTTGGCCTCCCTCGCCCTCCAGAAAACGGCGTGGGACAGAAGGAAAACGCACTAGTTGGCAGCTCTGAAGGAAGGCGAGGGCTGCATTTGGGGGTAGAAAGCCCAGGATGGGTGTCATCTGTGCCGTCTGTCATCACAGAGTTGAGCCAATGGTGGGTTCCTATGGGGTGACAGTGCAATTTATCCAAAAGGCATAATAAAGCCAAGCAGTTTGTACTTATTACATTTAAATATATATATAACATTCAGAAAGTGTTGAGGGTTTGGGACTTTCTTAGAGCAGTTCTTAGATCTCTAAATCTAAGCATTTAGATTCTGTAGTATTGGTATGCAGCTCTGTGKCTGGCCATAATCCCTTAAAGCTCTGGAGAAGCTCAGGACTGAAAACGCTGCACTGGGCTTGGGATTCGGCTGGCAGCAGGTCCAGCTTCAGGCTGAACTGGCTTTGAAGGCACTGGCTCCTCTGGAAGGAGATGAGCTCTGCGGCAGTCGATCAAGCTCGATATTGGATTCTTCAGTTTATTTCTGCTGCAGATGTGGGTTTGGAGGGAATTTGTAAAATTCCTGGAGAGCTCATGGACCAGAAATAAGTGTTTTTGCTATGAAGGGGAAGCAGAGCATGTAGGCACCCAGGCAGTGAAGCTATAGGGTGAACACAGTATCTTCCTTGGTCTTGAGGAGCTGCCTCAGGCTGTGGAGGGTCTCTGCCATCTCTAAGGTGACACTGGGAAACCTCGTACCCAAACACACCAGGTGAGAAGGGGCTCGTGCTGGGAGTGTGCAGGAAGTGTTGAGGTTACGTGTTGGAGAGTGAGAAAAGGATGAGCGTTATGAGGGAGCACCTGCCCACAGGCGCTGCAAGGAGAAGGGAAACCCTGTTCAGGTCTCCAGGAAATCCTCGATGAGTTGAGCCCTCTGCACATGCTTTCACTTGACACAGAGAGTAACGTGCAGTCAGAGCATCCTTGCTTTTATAAGTGCAATTAGATCTTTTAACAGGACATTCATTATTCACCAGACATGGTCACAGAACTTTGTGTCTCTGTACCATTCAGATGAGGGATAAATAATTAATCTACTTGATGAAATTTGTGTCAATGGGGAGCTGTGGCAGGTATTATGAAACAGCGAGTAAAACCATAGCATTTATTATGAATAAGCAAATGGAAAATAATTGATACTGTCTTCTCCAGCTCGCCTTCACACCACTCAGCACAACCAACCTGGGCTCTGCCGCTCAGCCAGGGCCAGTCCAGCTCCCTGCTGACTCAGCTGCCCCTGTCTTCATCAGCTCTTCCCTGTGAGCTTGTGTTATGTGACCCTATCGAAAGCCTTACTAAGGTTTGCTCCCCTTCACATCCCGTATTCTGTCCTGCTGGTGGAATCCGGGGGCTACGTTTGGTCCCGATTCTTCACTCCTTGCTCAAAGGATTGTCCTTGYCCTCCCAGCTGAGGCGGGTCAGGGGCTGCTCCTGCTGGGATGAAGGGTTTGCATCTTGTGTCCTCTTGCTGTGGGTAGAAATCAGTGCTCACACCTCGCCAGGGCTCACAGGGAAGCTCTGTGGCACAACAGTACTGCAAAGGCCTGGCTAAGGGGGCTTAAAGGTCTTTGATACCTGCAGAAGACAAAATTCGCTCAAAGTGCAGCTTCTATCCCAGCCCTGGCAACACATCCTTTCTTCTGGTGCCCTGTGGGAGGCACGGGACGGACCACTTTTCTTCCCTCCCATAAAGGTCCAGCCCAGGTAATGCAGCACTTCCTAGCAAGGATGAAGCCAGCATCCCATCTCCCTGCTGAAAGCTGCTTGTGTGGTGCAAGTGGCTGGTTTGCAAGGCCACTTTTCTGCCAGTAACCCCCAGTTTTTCCCCGTTCCTGCCTTACTTTTCCAGGGCAGAGCCGCAGTGTGGAGGATGCCACCATCAGCTCTCTGGCCGATCTCCGCTCTGTCAGTCAGATCTGCTGCGACAGTTCTGCTGAATTAGCCACCCAAGGGGCTGCGCAGGACTATTTATAGAGAGACAAAGCCAGGGGAGAGCAGGCTGAAGGCCAGTCTGAGATGTCTACAGTGAAGAGCTGGGATCTTTAGCCCTGTTTGGGGTTCCTTGAATGGCTCTGCTTTGGTAAAGGACAGAAAACCTCCTCATACATAGGGGAAATCTGCTTGTATGTGAACAACCTCCTGCCTTAGCAGGGTGTGCGTGTTTCCTGGCTTGGCTCAGGAGCCCGTGGGCCACACAGCCATTTCCACGCAGGGGRCAGGCTCTGGGGTGATTTTTAAGCCTGTGGCTGATGATGACAACGTGTTGCTGCAGGAAGCGCCGAGGAGGAGCCAGGGCGCAGCCGGGAGCACGTGCACGTTGCCCACAGGCGTGTTGCTGGCTTGCTGCTTCCCGGTATCCACCCGAACACAGGACCTGTGCGTGTTCTCTCTGGAGGGGAGCAGAGAACAGAATTTACAGGTGCATCTTGCAGTAAATGAGCAGTGCATTTCCTCATCCATATGCATAGTGCGTAAATCACATTTAGATTGCCTGTGAGCCCAGATATCCGTGTCTCTGCATCCTTCCATGGCTACRTTTTTTCCRTGATTTTTTCTCCTGCTGTGAGCCATGGCTCATCTGAATTTGAGTAAAGCAGTTGTGTTGGTGGACAGAAGTGAAACTTTGTCAGTTAGACTCTGCAGACTATACCCTTCAAGATGGCATGTATCTTACTCAAAAGAGAATGGGATATGGTGCAAGCAGCCAGCTGATATCTGCAAATAAATGCCACGTGCTGCTGATATCTGCAAATAAATGCCACGTGTGGTGACGCCTGCAGAAGAAACAGAGCAGCCCTTGTGCTCCGAGAGATAGTTTGTATGGTTTTGTACCTATGGACTGGCTTGGAGCTACATAGGCCCTTTGGTCCTGGTAAGAAGGGGGATGGGGAATTGAAAATGTGTCCACGTTGGGTCCGAGGATCTCTTGATTGCTACTGCTCAATGATAAGATTTTCCCAGCAAATGAACTAACAGTGTTCTTGGGAGACACTGAGTAAATATGGGATGAAGCAAAAGGTTTCCTCTGGAGCAGCACTACCAAGCATGGGCTGCAGATGCAGCCAGGTTGGTAAGAGGTTCTTCTGGGGACTTCTTAAGAAGTTAAGAGGTTCTTCTGGGGACTTCTTAAACATTACCGCAGTGCTGAATTCCCTTTCTTTTGCTTTGTTGCAGTTGCTCTAAAGAATCAGAGTGCCGAGGAAGCAGAGAGCAGTGGAGGCCACGAGAGCGGACGGGCCGCGGGCTTGGCAGCTGCGGGAGTACCGGAGGGCGAGCTGCTCCTGCAGGTTAATGCTCACATCGCCCTGGCACGCGCTGCCCAGGCAGCTTCCCACTGCCCCCTTTTCAGCTGCGTTGAGTTTTACCTAAAGAGCAGGCTGCTGTGTTAGTAATCACGGGATACTTGGGTGAAATACATGATGGTAGAAGGCGAGAAGTTGTCCAGTGCAATAATTTGTTGATTAATACAGCTTTTTAATGAGGATGTAAAACTCATGTTCTCACTACTCTTGTTCAGTGACTTCAGACTGTCTAACTCATAACGGTTTGATGTAGCAGAGGTTTAAGCCCTCTTCAGATCCYTGGAGAATTTTTTGCTGTTGTTACTTCTCTTTTTTTTTCCCCCCTCTTCTTTCCTGGAGAAAACTTCCACCTACAAATCTTTCAAATATCATAATTCCTCTTCAGTTCACTATGAACTTCGGACCAAAGGGGAACTGCTGTTCCACTTTGTTTACTGTATAAATGGGCCRTATAGGTAACGTGGAAGCCAAGCAGAACACGACATTTTCAGAGTGGTTTTTTCCAAAACTAGGGATGTTATCCAAACACAAAAGAAAGTGGAGAAGAAAACACTGTGGAGTCTTCCTAGTTTTTCAATGATGCTTAACATGTGGAGAGAATAWATAGGCAAGGATGGGCGAGATCCTCAGTCCTACACATAGTGGACGTAGCTGCTCGCAGGGAGCTGTGCAGGCAGCCCTTGCCCTCRCCGCTCCTGCAGCAAGCTGCAGTGGGGAAGAGCTGCGATTCGGCCTTGGCTGTGACTCTCACCAAGGCCACAGGGAACGGCCTCTCGCCCTGTGACTTCCAGGGCTGGAGGAACGTCAACAAGAGAGGGTGAATGTCTCTATGTTATCCCTTCGCGGCAGGGAGCTAAGTGCAGTCTGTCGTATCCTGTAGCCACGAGACGCTAACAGGCGCGTTCACTGAACTGTTTTCTGTGCTCTCCCGAGTATTAGCACAATCCGGGTCACCCTTTTGCAGCCTGGCAGAGGTTTGCCTACATCTGGATGTACAGGACGGCGTGCCAATGCTTCAGGACAGTGAAGTTTGGTGTGGAATGGTCAGACTGTCTTCTTGAGAGCAGGAAAGCACCTTTAGAGTGGCTGACGCGTAAGCAAGACCGAGGACTGGGTCAGTAATCTCTGCCGAGCTACCAAGCAGTATTACCAAGCAGTGCACGGTAACATACACACATTGTGTTTCGCAAGTTACTAAATCCTCCCCTTCATCAGGATCCTTAAGGGAAGTTAGAGCGATGCAAGACGTGCTGGCTGACATGATGGGACAGAAATGCCCTAGAAGCTGCTCAAAGGGTTAAAGCGCATTTGGTGGCACTAATTAACCTCTGCAGCAGATTCCCACACATTCAGACCCACACAGTAAACACAGAGAGTGTTTGTGCCCAGAATGAAGGGGGCAGGGGGAGACAGGGACCTGGACGATGAATTGGAATTGGCAGCCACAATAGCCGGGCTTGGCCGAGAGGACACACTAGGCTCCAATTACTCCTGGTACAGTGGGAAGGGAAGGAATGGGCCCTTCCTGGCCCCTGTGGATTTCCCCTCTGTAGCCCAGGTTAGTGTTACAGGTCTGTTTTTAGCTCTTGGCAGACACAGGACACAGTTTCTGGGGTGAGTGCTGCAGGAGAACCCCTACCCTGCATCCCTGCAAGGACCTCTTGTCCTGATGTGTCTGGTTGGGGGCTGAGGGGCTGCTCCGCCTGCCCTGGCAACTCTTTCAACTGTTCYTCCCTCTAATCTCTATCCGTAAGACACAGAGCTGAGGAAGTGGACATCCCGAAGGATTCGTGATGGCAGGGAGGAGGGGAGTCTTTATCCAAGGACAYGCTCAGGAGAACTGCAGCCTCACCTCAGCCACCTTCTTTTTAATGCAAACTGCTGTGCTAAAGTGGCAGCTTATGCAGACCCCCAACAGCATATTTTAAGCCCAGTTTTGTTAAGCGCGTAGGAATGGGCCCTTCTTGAGGCTGACAGTGGTTCTGAGTCACTCAACTCATTCTTGCTTAGGAATGGCATGCTCCTTGCATGCTGAGTTTGCAGTCTTGGGGCTCTGGAAGATGGAGARGCCACTGAACTGTGAAATATGTAAGTTGTGTAGCATTAAAAATGCATCAGAAACCTCAGATTGGCTGCATTTGCTCTTTTCTGTGGGAAGGGCTTGATGCTTTGAGCCTGCACCGGCRAAGGCACCAGAGTGTTTATTTTATGAAAACAGAGCGTAACATGCAGAGATCGAGTGCAGTGTTTGGGTGGAGGATGTGCATGGATGAGCACACGCCGCAGGACACGGTGCTCGTGTTGCCTAAAGCTCTGCACTAACCACACGGAGGCCCCGGGAGAAGAGGAGTGTGGCTGCGCGCGCCGCTGACGTTCACATCCCTGCCGAGCTCCCCAGCGAACAGCGACGGTTCGGCTTGGTCAGGGGGTGCTGGAGAAGGACGCTCGTGTGCAGAACCAAGGGTTTCTCAGTGTCCAGAGACTGCCAGGGGCCTCCCAAAGCAGGACAGAAACTACCCAACGGAGCTACTAGGGCTCAACATTAAATGAAGCTGGTGTGAAACACTGCTTTCCTTCAAGGTTTCACTCAAGAAGTTTCACTTCCTCCAGAATACCAGAACAGTCCCACTCCTGATTGTGTCCAGTTTCATTCTGCAAGCACCTCTATCATTTTATCTGTCCTTGTAGTATGAGGATAAATACCCGTATCTGCTTCCTGCTCCATCAGTCTGAGTTAGGGTACACTCAAGCAGCGAACGCAGGTAGACGTGTGACCTTAGAGGAAGCCAGCCCCAGGCTCCATCCCTTTGCTTGGCTGGCACAGCTCTGCCAGCACGGGGATTACCGCAGTGTTGTTTGCTGAACGGAGGCCCTTGTTGTCAAATGTGAAAGTAAATTAACACTTTGATATGTTGCTCTGTTCCCAGGTGCTCAGTTACACTGCAGTGTGTTGTGACATTTATATTACTTGAGATCCTGGGAAAACAAGGAAGAAGAATCCCCTTGGTCTCCTCTTTCCATGGGCAATTAAATAGGACATTCAGAATTAAAAGGCCAGTTGCTGAACCCTGTTTGCATCCCAAGTAACTAAGAAGTAACTGCATAACATGGCAGTTCTCACAGGAGAAGAAGGGACTGTCCATCCTATGTTGAACAGATGACTTTTTAGGTCCATATCATGCTGTAAAGAGAAGGTATCCAGCGAAAAAGCATATGGCCTGCCCAGAGTAGGGACAGCAAGAAGGTATAAACTCCTCTCAGGACACCTAAGTCTGTCACCAGAACAAGCCCTTCATTGTAGAAGTTCTGGATCTACTCTCAAATTCACATGAGCTCCATGCACTGCTGCAGTCATCTGCTCTGTGCAGATTGCTCTTCTGTCTCCCTGCAGCAGAAATTAGCTTTTGCTAATTAGATTTTGCAGGCAGAGGCAGAGCTGCCTCCCACTTTGAAGCAGGAAGCAGGGTCAGATGGTGCTGTTATCCATGTGCTTATGATGGAGAAAGACATAAGCAACACCAAGAGTTCCTGTTGCTCAGCTTAGGATTCCTTTTTTTCTCCAGCCAACTGTCAAGCAGTGGATTTGCCCAAGCGAAGCAGCATGGAGGAAAATCTAAGAATAAACCACAGTGTTTGGTTACAGCCCCGTTAGGAAAGGGTGATGTGAACATGGCCTGTAAGTGCTGCCCTTCTCTCTCCCCCAGGCACTCMATGGCTTTGTGCTGGTGGTGACATCGGAAGGACAGATATTTTACTGCTCGCACACGATTCAGGACTACCTGGGATTTCATCAGGTTAGTAGCATGCCTGTGACTTGGGGTAGTGGGTTGGCTCTTGCTTGGTGATGGAGGACAGGCCTAATTTCCTTGCTGGGAGCTCTGCAGAGATAGCAGGATCTCTGTGCATTCTGTGTCCTGGGAAGAAAGCAGGACGTTGATGTCACTGTGATCTCAGAGTATCCTTCCCTTCGTAGGGCTCAGAAATCATCACAGGAGAGGCAAGAGCAGGGGAGCTGCAACATGCACAGATTTTACCCTCCACGGGATTTTGGTGGCTTGGGAATTTAATCTGTGAAGTGTCCTAGCTGCACTGGGACAACAGCAAAGGAAAGAGAAAAATGATTAAATGGAGTCTTTGATATGGGTTTGTGCTCCAACACAGTCATTGAGGGAAAGCAGCCAGGCTAGCAAAGCCTGTTGGTGAAAAAACTCATTTTAGTGAAATGGGCAATTTCATGTTCCCAGCCATGTTCCCAGKGAAAACTAGCGTCTAGGACGAGGCCACGGGATTCATGTGTCTTCTTTCCTCTAGACAGATGTCATGCACCAGAGCGTATTCCAGCTGATCCACCCCGAGGACCAGCAGGAATTCAGGCGCAACCTGCACTGGGTCCTTAGCCCACCCCACGCTCCTGAGCGGGAGCCCTGCTCTGAAGGTAGGTGCAGGTGTCCAGGCTCACACAGGACATCRGCCCCAGTGGAGCTACTCCTGCTCGCCTTCCCCCAGAGGGGAGTTTGTCTTCAACAGGACCCTGCCCTCTGCAAGCAGCAGATATTCAGGTGGTCCCTCCGCATGGGGTAGTCACCATCACAGCCAGGACATGTCCTAATGCACGTTGGCAAAGCCACAATGTGCAGCCACACAGTGGAGATGGTCTTCATGTGGTCTTCATGTGTTCTGCCATGTCCTACGCTACGGAACCCAGATCCCACCAGTTGCTTACACGGGGTCCTGCTCCAGTGGATTTTCTGTTGCTCCTGTGGATTTTCTGTTGCTCCAGGGGATTTTCTGTGGCTGTGCTTTGCAGACTGCTGCAGCTGCCCACACTCTGTCAGTGCTGCTGAAACCTCCAGCCTTTGCTGAGGACCACCYGCCTTTGGCTCCTCTCTTGCTCTCTCTTACAGGGGAGAAGAGTCTTGGCTCTCCTGCCGTCACCTACAAGCCTGACCAGCTKCCTCCAGAAAACTCAGCCTTCCTCRAAAGGAGCTTCGTGTGCCGGTTTCGCTGCCTCCTGGATAACTCATCCGGCTTCCTGGCGAGTACAAGTCTGCACTGCCCCCTCCACAGCAGGATGGGCTTTTCCTTTCCATGCCACCTGCAATGCAAGGGTTGACCTAGAAAGTCCCAGAGCTTTTCTCTGCTGTATATGTCATTTGCCTGCATAAGCAATAAGCCTTTTCCACTGCTCTTCCTATGTTTGGTTTGTATATAGAGCCTCATTGTGCAGGTTTTGATTTGTTTGATTTGTGTGTGTGTTGTGGGTGCAAGTGTGCAAAGAATCAGTGCCAAAAAGCAGTCTGAGATCAAAAGACATCCAACCTGGTGACTTCCTGCTGCAGTGTATCGCTTGTTTCTTATGTCCCTCATGCACAAACCAAACACCCGCTTGGACCACGGCCTTGGCCACCTTGCTGGTGCTCAGGCTGTAGGCTGGTTGTGTGTCCGTGTTCATCTGGGAAGGGGGGAGCTGTGAGCTGAAAGGGAAAACACTCCCGGAGCACAGGAGAGTTGGTCCTACAGTGTTACTGTGTCAGATGGTTTGGGGCACATGAACCTCCTCTCCTTACTGCTGTGGAGATTCACTGCTGCTGCTGGAGGGCTGGTATCCCCTGTGGCTTGTTTGCATCAACTTTCCAGTCAGATGACTCACTCTCCATGCAACTTTCTTCCCTCATTTTCTTTTTTCTACAAAGTTTAATGTGTGATTCTGAACTCTTCTTCTCTTTCAAGGCTTTAAACCTTCAAGGCAGGCTGAAATTCCTTCATGGGCAAAACAAAAGGTCCAAAGACGGGTCTCCATTGCCACCCCAGCTTGCCCTCTTTGCAATCTCCACTCCCCTGCAGCCACCATCTATCCTGGAGATCAGAACCAAGAACACAATCTTTAGGACGAAGCACAAGCTGGACTTCACCCCCTTGGCATGTGATGCCAAGTGAGTAACAAAGCTGATTTCAGAGGGATGTGCTGGGAATCTGTGTGTTTCCTGCACMGTGGTTCATGCATGACACCCATCGAGGCCCTGCCTCTGAGCACGGTGCTTTCTGGCTCTCTTGCAGGGGAAAGGTGGTTTTGGGCTACACTGAGGAAGAACTGCGGATGTGTGGCACTGGTTACCAGTTCATCCACGCTGCTGACATGCTGTATTGTGCAGAGAACCACGTCAGAAGTAAGATCTCCTTCCCTACTCCCGTGTGCTCAGCTCTGAGGTTGATGGGTGGGCTTGGACTACGGTAGCTGTCCTGCAGCTTCTTGCCAGTCGCACGCTCTGCTTCATGCCTTGCCATGATGCTCTCGTTGCTGTGGTGTCTGTCTGTTGGAGGATCCACTTGTTTGTGGAGCTGGAGCCCCGGAAGAGCTGCAGCTCCCAAATCAGCCCCTGACTCATGTGATGTGCTGCACAGGCCTCAGCACAGGTTTGTTCTCTCCTGCCAGTGATGAGAACAGGCGAGAGCGGCCTGACAGTCTTCCGCCTCCTGACGAAGGACAACCGCTGGAAGTGGGTGCAGGCCAATGCCCGGCTCGTCTACAAGAACGGCAAGCCCGAGTACATTATTGCCACACAGAGACCACTCGTGTGAGTGCTGGCTGGGATGGGGGGAATACACATTTGCCTTAGGACACGGTGCTCTGACCGGTGCTGTCCAACCTCACTGCCCTCTGCAAGGCGTCTGCAAGATGCTGATCTTGCTCTGCTACTCCCTCAGGGTGTGGGTGGGAAAGCAGGACTGGGACCTCACACCTGCTGTCAGAAAAATGGATTTTCTGACCTCTCTGGCTCAGCCTGCAGCAGTGCTCTGCTCGTGTTGTTGGTGAAGAGCCTCGTCCATAACAGCTCCCACAACCTGCTGCTCATGTGGGGGCAGAAACAAGAGGGACCTCAAGCATTTCACAGTTGGGTTGGACAGTAACCCAACACCTGTGTCCTAAGGATGACAGCAGCATAGATGAGCAAGGCAAAGGGGTGACTTTTGACCAGCAAAACTCTTTATCCTGGCTTGTATTACAGATGTGTTGGTGTATATTTGTGTGTGTGTGCAGTGCAGTCTGGTAACAGGAAAAAGAAGGCTGGAAAAAGGTTGCTGTGATCACAGTTACCCTTTCCAGGAAACAACTAGCAGTGCGTACACACATTCAGAACCTAATTCTTCTTCCTCCTGTGCAGAGATGAAGAGGGAGGAGAACACCTCAGGAAACGGTCCATGCATCTTCCCTTCACGTTTGCTACAGGAGAGGCACTCTTGTACCAAACTACTCACACTCTCCCAGGCTTCCCTGACTCCATCCAGAGCAGAGAGAAGAACAAGTCCAAGAAGACGAGCCACAGCAATGGAGGGTGCTCCCAGAAGGATAACACTGACCCCAATTCTCTACTCGGTGCCATAATGCAACAGGACGAGGCCATGTACATCTCCCAGCCAGCTCCCACGCACAGTCACTGCTCCAGCAGTAGTTTCCTGAACCACTTGGGAGATATGTCCTTATGGGTTGCACAGAGAGAGCCCTGGAGCATAATCACTGCCCCAGTTTCCTCAGGGAAAAGCAACTTCAAGCAGGAACTGACAGATTTGCAGGAGAAGGACCCTCTCTTGGCCACCCTGGACTCGCTCTTGATTAGCAGTGATGAGAGCTGTTCCAACAGTGACCTGTCCAGTGCTCTGGAGAGCCTTGGTTTAAATGCCAAAGACCTGGAACTCCTGCTGTTGGATGAGAAAATGGTGGTGGTTGATATGGACCTTGATTACTCCTTGTCCCTCAGCAACTTCCTAACCAACAATGAGATTCTCTCCTACATCCAGGAGTCTCTAATGAACAAGTATGAGGGGGGACAACAGGTCAGGTCTTTTCTGGACACAACCCAGAGCCTGAATGAAGGCTTCACTCCGTACCAGGCCCATGGGGAGGACAAGGACCCTCAGTACCTTTCCCAACAAACGCAGCAACCTGGAGTTTCCCAGGGCCAGGCAGCTGCTCCACCCTGGGAATGGCCCCTCCACACCACTCTGGGGCAGCCTTCCCCATTGCTGCTGAAGCCACCAGAGGAAGAGGAAGAGCAGGCTGCGGGCTTGCAGTGGAAGCCAGCTGCAGAACAGGGCTTGCTCCACTTCTTCCAGCTCACGCAGGGCACTCAGTGGGCTGGAGCTCCCACTTTGGGTCTGCAGGGCTCCCCCATGGGAGCCCCACACACGCAGGAGCCACACGGGGCTCAACAGCTGGAGAGTGAATTCCCAGGTACGCTTGTCATGCAGGAAGATGYTCTTCAGCCCCCTTCCATTCACAGTCCGGGCTCAGGATGTTCGGGATTGCAAGGCCAGCTGAAACACAAGGCCAACCAGCAAGTGCTGATGAACAGGGTGTGTGGCCACAACCCCACTGCCTCTCCACACCTCGTCCCTGGTGGCAGCAGCCCAGGGCAGGACTATGTTTCCTCACTCCTGGGACCCCCAACTCAGCCTGACTTCTGTGGTGTTGACCGAGACTTGAACCCCCAGTGCCAGGGCTGCTCGGGTCCAGTGCATGGGCCCAGCACGTCAACAACACACATCAACCTCAACAGATTGTCCAGCATGGACGCTGTGGGCAGCAGGGGCTCCCAGGAAGAGGTGGTTCCATACTCTGTTTTTTCCCCTCCTTCCTCATACCGGCTTATCTCCAAGAAGCCTGTTGGCTTATCTCCTGTTACCTCAGCATCCCACCACTCTTTCCAGAGCTCGGCTGCAGAGCACTTTGGGAGYGCTGGCAGGCCACTGGAGACTCCCACGAACTCCTATGGGACGTACACCTCCTTGCTGAGCCAGGAGAGCGGGCACAAAGTAAGGACCTCATTCTGCTCGTGAGCTCACTGTTTTCTTTGGCAGCATTTCTTGGGGGTGTTAGCATGGGAAAGGCACATGTCACCTGGCTGTTAGACAGCAATCACCTTGCCTGGTCATAGCAGCTGAGCAGGCTGCTTCCTCCTTGACAGCATCCAGACAAATCAATAGCAGCAAAATATTGCCCCCAAAAAAGCCTAAATACATTTTTTTTTCCTTTCTCTCTTCTCTTAGCCTGAGAACAGCTGTATTCTGTCCAACGGTTATGGGGGACTTTCTGGAGACTTCCTGGTGCCGAGGGGGAGATCTGCTACCTCCAACAAGCTGCACTCCTGCACGGAAGTGCTTCCAGATCACCATCATACATCCAACAGTGCCTTTTTCCTTTAGGAGAAGCAGAATAGATGCAACAGAACAGGGCCTCCCAGGGGCACGGGTGCTTGGAGTCAGCCAGCACGTGCAGATCTTTGTGCAACCATCTTGTAATGGCTTAGATTTGGCCACATTTGGCCCATTTCAGGACCGCAAGTTTCAGGGCTTATTTTTCATGGGTTCTCCTGTTCTACCCTGACCCCTTTGTTCTTGTTTCCCCAGCAGCAATGTTGTCAGCCCTTTTTGTCTATGCATCTTGCAGCAGGAGAGTCAGCTCCGAAGTATTTCGGCCTATTTATTGACTTTTATGGTTGTTGCTGTCTTTTAAATGGTGTTCAGAGACTAAACTTTGCTCTAGAAAGGAAAAGGTTCGCTTTCTAACACCTACCAAGGTGCTCTGTGTTGAAGAGGTGATATTAATGTGCAAGTCTTGCACTCTGCAGAGAAATTAGAGTGTGAGCTCTCTGTTGCACAAACCTTTGCAGTTCTGTCATTACGTGAAAGGAGATATTTTTTGGTTTTGCTTGTATTTTCCATGCTTTTTGAAATGCTAGCTGCTTTCATTATTGTTGTTTCACTCCCAAGGCTCAACAGCTCTTGACCGTGTGTGTCCAAATCAGCCCTCGCCTCTGAGGAAAGTTGGATTTCTGCACTCTGCTGGGCTGGGCAAGGCTCACATCCTGTAGGTTCACCAGTGCTCTCTGATGAGCAAACATTTGCAAGCAGGTCCTCCCAAAAATGCCAACAGAAAAGCTGTGTGCAGAAAAAAAGACAGAGAAGGTTTTCACCTACGGTATTAACTTTTCTGCTTTCCCCGCTAAGGCACTTTCGACTATGGCACAGGCCATGCTGAATGGATGATGCTCGTTTTAAAAAGAATTCTGAATCCTGACTTTTGTTCTCATACTGCACTGGTTCTTTCAGAGACAGATTTCTGTGTGTCCAGTGCATTTTTAGAACCTAGATTAGATGTCCTGCCCTCAGTGTCCAGCTGTTCTCATTCTCAAACTCTAGGAGCAAACTGGCATATAAGCCATAACCTTGCATTTGTTCCTAAAAAAATACAGAAAAGTAGTGGAATAGACTGCTAATCGAAGAAGATTCAACTGTATAAAGGAAAGTTTTCAGTAAGATAAAGAAAATAAGTATGATGTTTAATTATTGACATAGTGATACTTTCCCATAGAAATAAAATAAAATACATATGTATATGAGTTGACAAGATATGTTTTTATGCCATGACAGTGAAGAAGAAAATCTCTTCCCAAAACATTTAGTATCCCATGGGATGAGACAAAGACTGTTCAAAGGATCACAAATATGTCTGTTAAGAAACTCGACAAAGAAGAACCTCCTCCTGTGTGTTCAGTGTTGGCTTCATGTTAACTTTCCATCTTTTTTTTCTTTTCACTAAAAGGTTTGGGATGTTAGCCTTTGTGATCTCCCTTCCTACTTGTTCCATGCTTGTCTCTTTAGCATGTAAGGATTAGCCTTTTTCAGCATGAGGGCCACTAATGAAATAAGCTGACCGCTAGCAAGTTTTCCCTTGGATCTTGGTCCTTGAGGTATGAGCGATCATATTGTTGCCAGATATCCTGCCTGCTTGCCACCAGTCTCCAACACCCTAGTGATCCCAAATGGTGTAGGGAGGACTTACCCTTCCTGACTTGGCTGCCATAATAGTGTGTTTTATTTGCCCCCTACATGGCCTCAAATTATCCAGTGCTCTCCAAGGAGTCTGAGCCCTACATAATTCATTCCCAGCCTCACACCAGCTGCTGTCTGGCTGCTGTTTGTCTTCTCCCTGGTCTAATGGCAGCTACTTGCAAAGCACCAGGAGGACCCCTCTGTTCCCTCCTGGTAGGAGTAAAGTCCCAGTAATCATGAACACTTTGAAGAAAGGGAGAAATTAAGCTAGACAAAACCTCAGCAAGCTAAGGAAGGAATAGGCCTGAACATGGCATGTGCTGGCTGCGTCCCTGTGGTGGCAATCTCAGTTATTTTAGACTCCAGCTGGGAAGTAGCTCTGATCCCAGTTTTTCCTGTGCCCTGCCAAGCCCATGGTACAAATGTGCTGCATGGTGAGAAGCTGCCAGCATCGACTGAAGTAAATGACCCTAGTGCTACTTTGTGCTGCTGGATATGTGTTTGTTTGTGCCTCACTACCCGGTCCCAAAGCTCCTGGGAAGTCACTGCAGGGACAGGGCCTCTCCATCCTGGCACACCTCTCTGCCAACTGAGGTTGAGCTCTGCTATCCTGCGTTACTGGCTTGTGGGGTTAGGATGGCAGCTTCCTCTTCCCCTCACTTTACAGCTGAGCTGATCCAAACACTTTCCAGTGGGGCAGAGCCCTTCAGGTCTCTCTGGGATTGCAGTGAAATCTCYAGGGTTACATGCCTGACATATGGCTTGGCCTGAAAAGGCGGAACCAAAGGCAGAACCTTTGCTGTGAGGGGGTCATTAAATGCTCCAGTCAGACCTCCTCCATCTCTCTACATCTGTTTGAAACCTTCCCTCAGTGTTAAATCAAAGGAGTCTTGATTCTTTAGGCAGAGTCATCAATAAAACATGGTGCTCCATTAAGCATAAGAGCAACCCTTCAATTGCCTTTTACAGTAATAGCAGCCCCAAACACACAGAGGCAAGGCAGACCACCACCAAAACACAGGCAGCTGAACCCTACAGCCAGTGGAGGAATGCATGGGCAAGGAGTGGACAATGGCTCTTCCTATGCTGCGCCCTACAGCAACACTGTGGAGAAGAGAAACCTTCCCACAGGAAGGTGGCCAGGAAACCAAGCCACAGGTCAGGGTCAGGCCATGAGGGTAACCAGCATCAGACAGCCCAGTGATAGCAGCTAGGAGCACAGCAGTAGGACAGATCCAAGATCTAAATGTCAGGGTCCAAATAAATGCAGCTCATGGCCTGGTGTGGCTGTGGATCAGCTGGAGACCATTAATCCTATAARATATGCAGCAAAGGTCCAGAACTGGTCATGGCTAGAAACAGTAAATGCAGCTTAAAGTTTCCCCTTGTATTGCTTGAAATATGTCCAAAATGYTTCCTTGTTATTTCTTGCATTGCATTTATCACTGTGGCTATTAATTATTGAGGATAAAAAAAAAAAAAAAAAAGTCTGGTTACATTGGAGCAAAGAAGGGTAGCTCTAAGACACACGGAGCCCTTCTACAGCCTGTTTAAGGATGACTTAGAAGCTTCAGTGCCCTTAGAGCCACAGCTAAGAAGCACCTTAGGAAGCGAGTATGCAAGAAGACACCCCATTTCCCTCTCAGAAAGAAGGGAATGATGCTAGCAGTTCATGGCATGTTCTGCTGATGTGATGTGACAGCAGAGTGCTCTAAATACTGTCTCAGGAAGCCAATTATAGGCAAAACGTCTGCTTTCATCTCYCCTGGCCCATCCCCTCCAGCTACAGCTGAGATGTGCTTGCAATTCAGACTGTTTCATGGCTGGGAGAAGGATTCATTCTAAAAAACAGTTGTGATAGCTGGAAATAATTCATAGCAGCATGTTAATAAATAAGTAAATACCTAYCTCTCTGACATGCCCCTTTTCTGCCTTTTTCTAGTGGTAGGAACACCCATGGCTGTCTGAGCAGCTCTCCACAAGGAATACACAGGATCTTCAGTAGAAGTTGCCATAGTCTCCTTGAAAGAAGACGGGKCTTGCCGTAATCTCATATGTGCTCTTTGTAACGTGGAGGAGGAATGTACATCCAAATGGACAAATGTCTCAGTAGTTGTCTGGCACCTGTTGCCTTGGATGTGCTGAAATCAGCAGATATGATGTAAAATGCATCCCACCCAAGAAGGCCTGCTATCCCAATGATCCTTGAGAACCATGCTGTCCTCTGCCCCCAAGACCTATGCCCCTAACTGGATGGGCTAGTCCTAGACTAGACTGTCCTAGTTTGATGAAGTCCGCATGGCTGTGGACTGAGGATTGGACAATCCTCATTGACAAAGAAGGCCTGGTACTGCTTAGGAATTGGTGCTCAAGCCCCTACGTAGCCTTCCATTTCATGCCAGTTTTGACTGGTATTATCAGTGCTGTTTGTTACGTACTTGAAAAGTCATTGGTGAGAGGTGAAGGTTCATGAAGAACCGTATTTTGTTGAAATGCTTTATGTGTTGAATGTTTTCATCACTGAGCATTGCCACTGTGCTATTTCCTATAGTGCTCTAGTACGTAAAGTTGGTTCTGACTGTTGCTGTCAGAAAGTTGGACATCTGACTTAACAAAAACTACTTAAAAGCTCTGATGAGTCAGACTTATCTCAGAGAATAGTTTGTTCCAGTGAATTGGGACATGTTCATTTCTTCCCTGTAGTCAGACCTTGCTTCCTGGCTGTATGAGGAGGAATTAAGAAACACATTGTCTTTCTTTTGTAAGAAAAAAGCCTAAATATTGAAGGGTTCATTAGTTTGTGTGTCTTTTCTTTGTCAAGAATCATCCACTGTAAGCTCTGGTCCAGGCAAGGAGATTCTTGGGCCTCTTTGAAGGGTATGACAGGTATCACATAAGATAAGCTTGTGGGTGTGCTTCTCTTCCTCTCCAGGCATGGTGATGGGGGTTGCATAGCATTGACAAGGTCATTGAGATGGGGTCATATTGTTCTCTGTAAGGACCCAGTGATGGCGGATTGCATTTTGCCTACAAAGCCACTTCAGTGAAACACTGCAACTTAGGTGGGTGCCAAGCAGACATCATGCCTAGGCTGCAAAGTCCTCACCAGGGTTCTCACATGCTAGGGGCCCACTTGGGTTTTGGCTCTGAGGGGCATGGTCTGGGGAGGGCATGGACACAGCAGAGACCTTCCTGTGGCAGGGAGCCAGGACAGGAGATTATGTCTCTGCAAGCGGGACCATGCACGGCTCCCCTCTCCTCTTCCGAAACAGCTTTCCAAAGAGGCAAATGGAATCAAAGAATCACAGAATGGCTGAAGTTTGAAAGGACCTCTGGAGATCATCGAGTCCAACCCCTCTGCTCAAGCAGGGAGACCTAGAGCACATGGCACAGGGTCACGCACCCAGGCAGATCTTAAGTATCTCCAAAGAAGGAAACTCCCAACACCTCTKTGAGCAGCCCACTCCAGTGCTCTGTCACTCTCACAGGAAAGAAGTTCTTTCTCACATGGAGGAGGAACTTCCTGAGTTCCAGTTTATACGCATGACCCCTTGTCCTGTCACTGGCTACCACCGAGTAGAGTTTGCCCTCATCCTCTTTACATTCTTCCCTTAGGTATTTGTACGTGTTCATAAGATCGCCTCTCAGTATTCTCTACTTCAGGCKAAACAGGCCCAGCTCACTTGGTCTTTCCTCATAAGAAAGATGCTCCAGTCCCTTAATGATCTTCATCACTCTATGCTGGACCCTCTCTAGAAKTTCCATGTCTCTCTTGTCCTGGGGAGCCCAGAACTGTACATGGTGCTCTAGGCGCAGCCTCACCAGAGCTGAGTAGAGGGGCAGGATCCCTTCCCTCAACCTGCTGGCAACACTGCTCCTGATGAAGCCAGGATCCCATTGGCCCTCTTGGCCACAGGAGCCATTGCTGGCTCATGGTTAACCTGCTGTCAACTAGAACTCCCAAATCCCTCTCAAGACACAGAAACAGCAGCTCTCCCAACGGTTTCTTTATTCTCCTAGCTCCCCTGGAGCCCTACTGCGGGAGCACCTGGACGTTGGGGCAGAGAAAAAACTCTCTTCCTCTTCTAGATCGTCTACTTTCCTCTTCTTAGCTGGTTTGTGGAGCCCGCTGTCCCTCACGTGCAGGTAGCACAGGCGCCTCAGCTGCTTAACCATCAGGGCCGTGTTTGCTTCCAGCCGACACAGGACCCCATAGCTGTCGCAGTGACTCCCACCCTGGCGGTCGGTGTCCCCAGGAGCTGCGCATGCCTGGTCCACCTCCTGAGAAWGACAGGGCAGTGGTGAGATGAAACAGGCCATGGGGCTCAGATGTGTCCTGCAAGGCTTGGCCTTTTATCGAGAAACACAAGCCTCCCAGTGCTGCTGCAGACAACAGGTTGCACCAAGAAGTCCTCAGGTTGAATGTTTTCTGCCTAGTGGGTGGAACCTCTATGAGGTCTATGTCCACATGCCCTGCTCTGAGGCTGACACCAGCCCCTGTTGCCTGAGAGCAGCAAGTAGGAAGCGGCCAGGGGAAGAGGTAGAGGATGTGCCATGTCCTGCCAAGACTTTCTAGGCCAGCTGTTCTTTCCCTGCCTTGTGCCAAGCATCCCAGTCCCCTGGGCTTTGCCTGTTCCCAGCAGCGCAGTACCATCCTGCCCGCATCCCTTGAGCACTCGCCTGTCTCTGGCATCTGACTGCTTTACGCCAAAGCCAACGTGCAAGCAAAAGCCCCGCGAGCAGGCCCAGGGCTTGCGTGCACAGGGAGAGCACCTGCAGCGTCATCAGCAGCAGGTCGAGCTGGTCACAGGAGGGCCAGAGCTGGTCCAGCGGGTAGGGCAGGCAGGAGCCCTGCGGCTCCCTGCCCATGTCGAGTTGCTCCAGCTCCCCTGGGAGAATATCCCACCCAACCTGGGCCCAAATGGGGTGGCTGCAAAGGCCCAGGCTGCCAGGAAGCAGTGACGCTGTGATCGCAGAAAGGGACAGGGAAAGAGGTGGGCAGAACATTGTCCCCGTGACTGMAGGTCAAACTTCTGCAAGCGCTGTCACTCTCAAGCGAGCTTAGCCAGTGACTGCCAGCACAGAGAGGTGATGCTCATTATTGGTGCGATGGGGGATGGATGAGGTCATCAGCCCCAGATGGCTGTCACCAAAAGCCCTGTGAAGTCACAAGGCTTTTTCCCAGCACACAGCAGACAAGGAAGTTGATATCAGCACAAAACAGGCACTAGGAGGCCAGGAATGGGACATTTCTCCATGGGCTGGCCCTGCCTAGCACTCATCTTGGACTGTGCTCCTGCTTCCTTGAGCCTGGCAGCCTCTGTCGTGTGGAGAGCACATTCCAGCTGCTGCCTTGGGTCCAAACAGCCTGACCCAGTGTCATGCCAGCACYGGACGCACCAAAGCCTGTGCAACCAAATTGCCCTGGGTGCTCCTCCTTGCCCTTGGGCAGCAGTGCAAACCCACCCTCCCTCACGTCCACCTGCACAAGCACCAGCCTCGTGGCTTCCTCAGATACCAGCCTAGCACACACATCATCTAATTCCTACACTCAGAATGAGGCCTCTCAGCCAGGCTCTGTGTCTCTACAGCTGCACATCTCGCCTTAGAATAACTAGTCCAGCTCCACAGCTGCTAGCAAATATCACAGCATTTACGTTCCTTMGGTGCCGTTATTTTTTCCTTCACTGGTCCCATCTTCCCTAAATCTGCATCCAACTGTGACATTTCTCATATTGCTCCCTGGGTCTGGAAACAAATGGACTCAGATGGACCAAGGAACAGAATGACCATGCAGCAAAGATGCCTCCTCAGCACATGTGTAAATGAAACACAGTAAATTATGGTAATATGGTGCTGTTTGTTTCAATTTCCATCTTCATGTGGTGTCCAACTCTGTGTATTTATTGCCTTGGCCCAGCAGGCACACTCCCCCACCTGGATAATAACCACGTGGCCTCGCTGTGCGTGTTTGCAGACAAAGATGTAAATAACGTGCATGTCTTGTGTGGGAATGCAGCATTTAAGGGTAGTGTGTGGTGCTGAGACATCTCGTGCGTGATCCGCTCTGCAACCGGGCTGATGGGGATACAACTAGACCACCGATACTAGAGTATCTTGGGGAAAAGAGCAATTTTTAAAGCTGCCAAGTGGTTGCCAAGTGTGAACAGATTAGGCAGACGCCTCTGAGACGCCAGCGGTGACTGAAAATTTTTCTTTCATTTAATCACGGCCTTGGTTCATATTTGCATGCAGTGACAGCCTGGGAGGAGAAGCAAATGAACAAAATGCATCAGAAGAGGGCTCATCTGTACTCATGTTAGTAGATTGGCTGGTTTGTCTTCTTCTAAAAAAAAAAAAAAAAAAAAAAAAGGAGAAACATAAGCAAGCAATGGGCTATGTCCTAGTGCTAAATAAATCTTCAAGTTGTGCGCAAAGCGTAGCAAGGCGGAGGAGGAGCCGGGACGGAGCCGGAGGAGCACGAGGAGGAGGAGCAGGAGCCGGAGCCACGGGGGCCGGAGCCGGAGGAGGAGGAGCAGGAGCCACGGGGGCGGGCGCCATGGGGGCGCCGTGAGGCGGCGCGGCGGCGCTGACATGGCGGTGCAGGAGGGCGCCGCTCGTTGCGCGCGCGCGGTAACGGCCGAGGGTGGCAGGTTGGCAGCCCTGGGGGGGCTTCGGTAGGCGGCGCGGCCCGTGCCCGCCCGCGGAGCAGGGACACGAGCAGGGGCTGGAGCGAGGACGTTGCTCCGGGCGCGCCTGAGGCGAAGCGCCCGCAGCCCCGGCCCTTGCGGGACTCTGCTGCCCGGTGCTCGTGCAAAGCACGGCCAGGCCAGGAAAAACCGCCCCTTGCAGGAGTGATGTTCTAAAAACCCTGGGTTTTAGAGAATTAAATACACAGACGGGATAGTTTACCTACAAATTGCCAAGCTCGTTACTTTTCCTCTGCGTGAGAGGATATGCTTGAAAGTACTSCAGTATTGAGTAGGCACGAGACAACTCCAAAGAGGTTTCTGGTGGGCTTGGAGCGAGCATTCCTGCTCCTAATGAAAGCGTTGATACCTTCCTACTGGAGCAAGSAGTATGGGTGCCTGCCCCGTGGTTGGAGGCGACGCTTCCCTCATTAAATGATTCCTTGGTAATTGCAGTCTGGATGAACTCTGCAGGTTGCTGCCCTCAGCAACTCAAATTGTGCAGGGACGGTGCGTGTCCGGTTTCTGGATGTGACCACGGGACAAGCTTCTAGCAATGAACAGCCTTACCAGAAGCCTTTGGAAACCGCTTAAGCGCGTCCAAGCGGCGTGGCGCAGAGCGAGCCCGGCCCGCGCTGCAGAGCAGCGTCCGCCGAGGCTGGTGCTGGGCATCGAGACGAGCTGCGATGACACGGGGGCCGCCGTGGTGGACGAGAGCGGCGCCGTGCGCGGAGAGGCGCTGCACTGCCAGAGGGAGGTCCACCTCAAGTAAGAACAGACACCCTGCGCGCCGGGCCGCTCGTGCAGCCGCGCTTGTGCTCGTGGTGGGAAAGGACGGGAATTTGAGGGGTGCCCTCTAGTATTTTTCCCCAAAAGAGAAGGTTATTTGACTTGATTATTTAGCTTAATTAAACATCAAATTGTTTTTAGTTAAAACCACAAAATTTCTCCAGTGTTATAAGAGAAAACGAATGAAAATATTCACTGGTGGCCACGTGCCTGAACTGACGGTTAGAAGTCAGTGATTTTGAATCTTCAGTTACACAAATTGTTTTGCTACAATATTTGGCTACGTTTAAGAGGGATATCCGACAAACTTGAGCAAGTAATACATTTTTCTGGCCTTCCCCTGAAAACAGTGGTTTATTCCATATGTAGGTGTCCTTTAAATAAAGCAAAAGAGAATGTAGTAAGGAAAGAGACAAGATATGTCAGGGACAAGAGGTATTTTAAATTTGCTTTTTCTGTGATTCTGTCATTTATAAAATACCAATTGTAATTCTTTGTTTTTTTTAACTAGAACAGGTGGGATAATTCCTCCGGTGGCACAGCAACTTCACAGGGAAAACATTGAGCAAGTAGTAAAAGAAGCTCTCGATGTCAGTGGAGTTTCTGTAAGTGAACTTGCTGCTATTGCAACTACAGTGAAGCCGGGACTTGCCCTGTGTCTTCAGGTGGGACTGGAATATAGCTTAAAACTGGTGAACAAGTATAAGAAGCCTTTCATACCCATTCATCACATGGAGGCTCATGCACTAACCATCAGACTAATAAATCAGGTGGAATTCCCTTTCTTGGTTCTTCTGCTGTCTGGCGGCCACTGCATTTTGGCAGTAGCACAAGGAGTTTCAGATTTCCTTCTGCTTGGGCAGTCAATAGATATAGCACCRGGTGACATGTTGGACAAGGTAATATTTCCATACATGTTTTGTTTTGTTTCAGCAAGTGTGCTTAAATTTAGGCACTTGAATGTAGTGATGCAGTTGCAGGAAGACTTAATTTGGCTCCTCATTCTGGCTCTCTTGTTCATGATTTGCACTTCAGGTAGCGAGAAGACTGTCCTTGAGCAAGCACCCGGAGTGCCAGGGCATGGCAGGGGGGAAGGCCATAGAGCACTTGGCTCGGACGGGGGACCGGCAGCGTCACACGTTCAGAGTTCCCATGCAGCATTATCGCAACTGTGACTTTTCTTTCTCTGGGCTTCAGAATCTTGTCAATAAAGTAATCGTAGAACAAGAAAAGGAAGAAGGTATTTTAAAACAAAGTGATATATAAGCTATGGGCTTAATGTGCTCTATTCAGGTAAAACCATTGGCCTTGTGCTTTTACAGGTGTTCAGGAGGGAGAGCTGCTGTCTTGTGCTAAGGATATCGCTGCCGCTGCACAGCATGCAGTGGCCGCTCATATTGTCAAGCGGACGCATCGAGCCATGCTCTTCTGCATAAAACACAGCATAATATCACCCCAAAATGCAACTTTGGTGGGTATACATCTTAAGTAGAAATAGATTTTCTTAGAAATCAATCTAATCTTCAGGAACAGCTCAGGCCACATAATTTRGGCTATTGCTGCCCAGTACTTCATAGGTGTTCTATTTATAGCCTGCTTTTAGTCAGGAATCTTGCAGCATAATACGTTCCCTTCTCATATTCTTTTCTGATATGCTCTTTTTTTCAAACTTGTTGTTTATTGCTGTCTGCAGAACTTTGATACCTCTTTTAATAGGATAGTAATTGAGTATGGTCCACTACTGTACTAAAGCCCTCCTTACTTGCTTACTTTTGAATTATGCCTTTTTTGTTGTTTTTATTATGCCCTTTTTCTTTGTTGGTGTCAGGTCGTATCAGGAGGAGTTGCAAGTAATCAGTATATCCGAAAAGGGCTGCAGATTGTGGCAGATGCAAATGGTTTCAGTTTTCTGTGTCCTCCTCCGAGACTGTGCACTGATAACGGTGTTATGATTGCATGGTATGGACTGCTTTTCTTCATGTTTCTGTAGTGTTCTTTAAAACTTAACATCAGAGYGAAGAATTTGTGTTTGAACCCCATACTTGCATGCAGGTAATTTGAAGCACATATTTGTATTCAGGTAATGTTTGATGTGCGTCTTCATACAGTTGTTCTCTTGCTTAGGAATGGCATTGAAAGGCTACGTGCAGAACTTGGTATTTTAAACTGTACCGATGGTCTCCGCTATGAAGCAACGTAAGTGACTGGATTTGCTTACAGTCCACCTCTTCACTTACTCACTAGTTAGTGAAAATGCAAGTGTAGACTGAGAAGACTAGTAGAATGGGATAAGTCCTACTACATAAAATATTTAAGGAGTTCTTTGCTGTAGACCCTACCTCCTTTAGAATTACCACAGAGAACATACCTATGAACCTCTAGTGCATCTTCTTATCAGTGAAACAGAAAATGACTTATCAGCTGATATTAGAATGTAAATACAGGGACCAAAAAGAACTTTCAAACCACATTTATGTTGTCTGAGCTGTCCTCTAAGTGCAGCAATAATGACACTTATTAAAAATRTGTAACAAATATTATTTTCTAGTGCTCCCCTGGGCATTGATATCTCAAAAAGAGTTGAAGAAGCTTCAATCAAGGTGCCAAGACTAAAAATGAAGATTTGATGATTGGCATCAAACTGAGTGGTAACTAAAATCTAACTACAAATTCTTCAGTAAGAACTGTCTGAATGCTGTTACATTTACTGTTAATACTTGGCTTGCAGTTGTTGGAAATCACATACCATAAAAATAAATGCTGTGTAGTATCAGCTAAATGTTTCAAATTACTGCTGTGTAGTATCAGCTAAATGTTTCAAATTACTGTTTCACAAATGGTATCAAAGCAAAATAAAAATATATTTTCTAATTATTTTAGATTTACAGCTTTTACATGATTAATGGGTTACTTCTACCTTGCCTCTTGACAATCAGTAGTAGATAGTTTTTTATATTGCTTATTGCACTATATCTGTTGAGCACCTCRTAGTTCCAGATGGCAACCGATTTTTTTAATACATAATGCATATGTTTAAAGTTACCTGCTTAAATAYAACCAAAATAATCGGGATACCCAAGAGAGCTACAGCCAGTTTAGCTCTTGTGATAAATGCGGTGGTGTTTGGACCAGATTTGTTTTTTCTTCCTTTTAAACTTGAATTCAAGATTTAATACAAATAAATTATGTTCCTTATTTTGCCAGTACTTCTGGAAAAAAAGATAAAGATCTCTCTTTAGACAGAAAGTGGTATTTGAAGAATACATTCTCTGTATTCAATTTGTCACACAGTGTTTTAGGAGATGGTTTTGTATAATTTCATAGGATATAATAGTTCCTATAGTCCTCTAAGTTCCTAATAGTGCTCTAAGATGGCATAGATGTTGACATGTTCTCTGTAAAATAGATTCAGACACTCTCACAGGTTATTTTTCAATTCCTCCACATAAAAACTTCAGGAACCTCTTTTAGAGGGTATAAAGCACTGCTTAATTAGAAATAGAAGCTTAAACCCTCTTAATGTTCTAAGATGTGTCTGACAAGTTTAGAGTTCTTAAAATCCAGTGCATTTATTCTTTAGCAGTATAGCTGTTTTTAAGGTATTCACAGATAGTCTTCCTCCATCTAACACAGTCTCAAGAACTGAGATTTCAGAAAGCCTTTTTGTGAAACCATTGACACGGGAGACTTTGCAAATGCAAAGCAACAGAACATGGCGTAATTATATTAAGTGCTTTTCAACTCCATCGCTGGCACAGGACTTAAGCTTTTCTCCTGGCGCAGTGGCTGAAATCTTATTGACATTAACAATTCTTGGTCTTGAAACTTTTGTGATGTCTGATGAAACCTCGTATGTAAATGAAGACAGTCTAGAAGTTTGTCCACGGAACATATTTGCTCTTCTGAATTTTCCCCTCAGGTGAGCAGGGGCAGATATTAAAAGAAGCGAGTCCTTGGGTTGACATTTAGTCCAGGGATGTCTTCCTCTGCAGCTCCACAACCTCTCTGGAAAATAGAGTAAATTATTTTGTTGAAATCTATGTGTAATATGTTGCAACTGTGTTCTGAACAGCAGAAGCTACAGCTTTCTTCTAAAAGTGAGACCTCAAGTTAAAGTTATATAAAGTTATATATGACCCAAAAAAAGTATTTTATGGCTGCAGTGATGACTTCTGTGGCCTTTTTGCATTTATCCATCTTCTTCATTGTTTAGCAAAACTAGTAAAATGGCTTATTTAATACAGTGGTCATATTTTGCCAAACTTTGGGGCACGCACCAGTAAACKGCTTACCTGCCTCAAAATGGGGTGAGGAATATCATACCTTTAGAGTACGTTGGAACTGCAGGTGGTCCTCCATTTATCATCAAGCTGCAAGTGGAAGAGTGACATCCTGAAAATTAATGGCTTAAAGCATTCAACACATTCTTGTAGTAGTGAATTCAAGTCCTTCAGCCTTTTTATTATTTCTGTTTTCCTTAYACACTTTTTTATTAGGAAACCTGGTCATTTTTTTTCATAGTTTAAAAATGTAAACTTGCCCATTTTATTTTAAAGTAAGTTTCTATAACTCCTAAGAATAGTTGGCATTTGGGGGCAGGTTCCAGGGCTAACCGTTGAAGCCTTTGCTTGCCTAAGGACTGACGTTAGCCCCTGGCCAAAGAGGAACCCATCCAAAGAGGAACTTGTTCCTAAACATTTACTGATTTTAAGTAGAGTCTTACTCCAGGAACATTTCTGGTAGTGCAAAATACTAAAATCTTGTCTGAGCTTCTGAAGTCAAATGATTGATTTCATTGACTTCAGTAAGAGCAATATAGGGTCTATATGCAATTTAAAAGATAAGGGAGAATTAATACAGGAGTAAAGCATTTCTCTCAGTCTTTTAAGATTTAAGCTGTGTTTAAGGTGTGTGTMTTCAATACTCAGTTTGCAAAAATATGAAGAATTTTTGATAAATAACTGACTGAACAACTTTATGCACAAAACCAAATGATGCAGGCACCATGCCATTTTGATTTCAAGTTTTTCAAAAAAAAAAAAGTCAATGTTTTATCATTTACAATTAATCAGACTATCCAGAATTTGCAGTTSCATATCACATCCTGTGATAATTGCAAGAGTTGGTGAAAAGTCACAGTAAAATTCATAGCAAAATTAGCCGTTTTTGATGTGTTTGGGGATTTTATGGCAATAATCCTCGTGGTTTGGGATTTGCAGAGTGCGTTTTTTGCAGCACCTGAGGGAGGGCAGCCCGAGGCGGCGTTCCCGCCGGAACTCCTGCACGAAGCCGTGGTTGATGCGCGCGTCCCGGCTGAGGTTGCCCAGCAGGCGGCCGAACTGCTGCGGYTTGTTGCGGCACTCCCCGAGGAGGTGCCGGTACGCCGTGCGGTTGAACGTGAGGTAGCCCAGGGCGTTCGCAGAGGCTATGCACACCTGGAAGGGGAAAAACAACAGTTCTCACCCTAGATCCGAGGATATTTTGCTTAGGAGACGGACTTTTATCAAAATAAAGCGGGTGCGTAGCAGCAGCTCTCTGGTCACCCATCAGAACTCCAAATTAGGGGTCAGAAAGACAATAATAATAGCTGAAATCAAAAGTAGTGGGTCTTTAATTGGTCGTTCAGTATCACTGCTACTCAGAAGCACAACTTTCAAGTCAGCAGGCCCATGTTCCTGGCTGATCTAGTGGTTAGCTGATGTAGCCTGAAACATATAGCTGAACAACTTGTCTCTTCTGRAATAATAGCAATCCATTGATGGCCATTTAATTACCCAATTGCATTATTTTTTCCCCCTGAAAAATCCACTTAGCATGAACTGTACTRTCAGCCAGCTGCACAAGTTGAGTTCAACACAAAGCAAAAATAAACAGAAATGCACAACACAAGTGTTACTTTTCTAGCCTTTTACCTCTTCATCATCTGAGTACAGGTGATAACACAGACGCTGGATCGTTCCTAATGTAGTAATGGCTTCTGGAATTCCTGCCCTCGTGTGAGCCAGGCTGGCCAGTAGCTTCCCTGGAAATGAGACATGCACAACTGCACTGTAGGCACGTTCAGTCTCCTCCATAGCCCTCCATTAGGCATCAGTGCCCCTTCTGAAACAACTTCAGAAACTATTAACTGGTTGCAATATCAACAAATTGGCCACTGTATTTCTTCTCAAACTCTCAGAGACCTTTTAATGAAAATATATTTCTCTAAGAAATCTGCTTTGGGAAATAAAAAAAAAAAACTATAGCTATCTTTACTTTTTTTTTAACTCTCTAGTCTTTTGACAAGCTGTAGAAATCCTTAATAAGTTTTATTTTTCATTACTAAAACCCTTTCCCCTACTGTCATTAAAAGTCTTTTAAAGATGAATTCATTCCTCCAGTAGATGAAGCAGTAGCTATACAGAGGCTGCATCCACTTGATATTACAGTATAGGATATTAATGCTTTGCATCAGAGAAAGAGTTATTAAAAAATAACACCACACACACAAAAAAACGTTATGCAAGTAGTTTGAGCACGTCATAAAAAAAAAAGGAAAAAAAAGTCTCAAAAATGCATGTGCTTCATTTTTGCTGCTGTAGAGTAGAGGAACAGCCTATTTCTATTTCCTACCTGTAAGAATAAGTGTAGCAGTGTCCTCAGAGTTGAGCAGTTCAACCAGTGTCATGACACCTCTAGCAGACAAAGTAACCTGATCGGCATCCACTATAACTTTGGCTAATACAACAATCTGAAAGCAGAAGACAACTTGCTTTAGGCAAACCTCTTATGTTCTTATACTTCTCTTTAGTATTAGAAAAAAATATATATACATGCTGCTCTAAATTTAATCATCACAAACAATGCGATACATTCATAATCAAAAATTTAAAATATTGATATGCCATCCAATGTTATTATACAGACACTGAATCTTCTATAAATTTTATATATCTAATATAAATTATATTAGATAAAAAAAWTTCTAAAGCCTGTGCTTTAAGAGATCTCATACCTGAAAAGCTGCCAGTGCTTTATCTGTCTCAATTTCTGACTGCAGGAAAGGTTCAAATATGGATATTGTAATTGTTCCACTCTCCTGGATCCGGAGTTGTTGGACACAGTTGTTGTATGCAAAAAGGGCTAACGCATATGCTGCTCGTAAACAGATATCCTTAAATAAATAAAAAATCAGAATACCATATAAACTCATATTTCATACTATCAATCCCCAGCCCTTCCCATACTACTTACGGCTCTTTGGTTATGCTAGAATAGTTATTATCCCTGCACTCCAGGCTATCAAGCATAGATCTCTTCTTGCCACTCCACTTACCTTGTTTCTAAAGATTTACAGAAACACATTGAAGACCAAAGCCTCCAGAGATTGAAAAAGAAGATAAATATGAACACTTCATAGCAAAGAATCTTTATGGCTTAAAGTAAA